ATATAAATTAGTAGTATGCATAAAATAAAATAGATTGAATCTCATTCAAAATTTTTAAATATACATACATGCTTACATACTATAATGATTTTAAGAGACTGACGCACTCACACATTCTCAATAAAACAATTTTAACAATTTGAAAAACAAACGAGACAATAGGCGACAAAAGAAAAAAAAAAAAAAGAAAATTTCAAGCCGAGCATAAAACAGTAAAGGTAAATTAAAAAAAAAATGTAGAGGTAGCCATTATTATTTTATTTTTTTTACAACTATATCTTTACAACTACATCTTTAAGCTAAGATTACTACACACTTTCGCAGTTAAACTAATTTGTGCAAAATATGGAGCGTGCATATGTATGTATAGCAGTAGAAACTCTACATCTGGTGAACTGCATGTAGTATTGGAGGGTACATTGAAATCAATTTTAAATTAACAATAGCTTAACAATAATGATTTTGAAATATTGATACTTTTCTCTACTAAAATAACTTAAACATTAAGAAGCTTATACGTATTTTTATGGAGCCAAGCTATTATCTTAAGGCAACGCACTCAACGTTTGCTATGTATAATGGTTTGAGTTGCAATTTGTCCTCTTTGTTTAAGCCTGAGACAGAAAATGAACACTGTTGTCGCGGCATAATTATTTACCTTTTCCTTATTCTGTTTAATGTCATGAACGTTATGAACTTATAATTTTTAATAAAATACTTAATACGAATGGCGATTTTTTTTGATTTATCAAAGAAACAATGCCTGATTACCATTTTAAACATGAATGATTTAAAACTTTTACTCAAGAAAAAACGAATGAATATATTTTGAATAATTATTTCAGTTTTTTTTATATTTTTAAGTTGAGAAGAGTTCTCATTATTAATGAATATTACGAGCCATTTGAGTTTTAATTTAGTTAGGTATGTCATGTTTGTACAATAATAAAATTTATTTCATCATCTTAATTTGTAAACTCAAATTATGTATTCTAAAAGTAAATATGTATGTTTATTTATTTGTACCTGCATATCTGTGAATAACATCTTTTATTTACAATGTAATAATAATAATAGAAATAATATAATGGCAAAAAAATAATACATTATTGGAATTCATTATGGGAAGCAATGACGAAACACTTTGAAGATTAATTTTAAACAACTATAACTAACAGTAAAATTATTGATAAAAAATTAGATATCAGGGATTATAAACAAAAAGACAATATGCAAATTATTTTCTAAGAAAAATCAAATATTCATGAAACGAATATAAACTCAAATAATGCATGAACGCACACACGTATCTATATATGAGGAAAAAATTTAAAATAAATCTAAAACTACAAACCCATTCGATCTCAACTTTTATCACTCGAACTTTCTCTCAAATAAGAGCATCGCTTTAAGTTGAATTCTGTTTACGTAATTTTCTCAAATATTTCTTTGTGTTTATTTTATTTGAAATAAAAATAATATAAACAATGCAAGATAAAAGCCTATATAATAAATGTTTTTTCAAGAAATTTCAAGAAAAGAGAGTTTAATATAGGCCTAGTAATAATCTAGACTAACAATTACTTTAGATCCTAAAACTAAAAAACCATATTAAACCTTAAAAATTGGTTTTGTAAAGTGCATTATAAGTATATAATTTTATAATATATATATAAATATATGTATTACAAAAATATGTATATATATAAGTATGTCTACAGAAAATATATTTTCAATCCCAGTAAGATTATTTTTTGAGCAAGTTTTATGTCAAAATTTGAACATTTTAAAACGTTTTTTTATGAAACTATGAATTTTAAAAATTTAACCTCAGTTACAATAATGCATCGAATTTTAAAATTCTTTTTCGCTCTCTCGTATACAAAATTATTTTGCATGTTTCGTTTTAACATATATATTTAAGCAAAATTAAAAAACCAAGTCATAAAAACAATAAAAAACTAACTAAAAATTTTTTGTTTATTTAAAAATTTGGGAAATAATTTGATTTAAAAAACAAAAAAATACCTCACTCATAGAAATTACCCCACCTTAAGAGAAATATCACAAACAATATTTTATGAATTAAATATTATTCATTTTAAAATACCAATAAATTTGTTTAAAAAAAGTAAAACTTAATAAGTAGGTACTTATTATTTTAAAATAAATGTGTTAGTGCCTACTACATAGTATATACATACATACATATATTTAAAAAATTAAATTAAATATTTATAATCATTTTATTTCGAAATGAAGAATTACTTCGTTTTTTTTTCAGAATCATCATAACCAAAAAATTCAAATATTGTGTATGCTTTTATGAGATGGAAAAAGAACTCTTACAATAACTTCAAATATAAATATCCATTGGTGTATGTATGTATGTTAATATGCATGTGCATACTTATGTAAATGACAACGCATATGCATAAAGCATTGTAGTGTACTTAAGTACGCAAAAAAGTATAGAAACAGAAATTACAGCAGAAAAAACACAATTTTGAAAAAAAATAATAGTGTAGACAAAGGAAAAATGTTACCAAGTCGCATTACTCTACAAGCACCATAATAATGAAAATAATAATAAAGAAAATAAGAAAACTTGTCAACTTTAGAACTACTTGGAATTACTTGGGAAACATTACAGTACCAACATACAAACATACTCTTTTCTAATTTTTTCGTGTTTTTTCTTTTTGTTTTTCTTCTTCTGTATTTTCTTTTATTATGAAAACGTAAGATTTTTTAAACAGCTCACTCTAAATTCATTGACGTACACAGGCGACGTTGCCATATTTCTTACATCAAAACAGGTACAGATCTCAGATTATAACCTCAATTTTATATATTTTAATTTAATTTAAAAAAAAAAAGAATAATACAATAAAAAGAGTTTAAGAAAACAAAAAAATATAAGAAAATTAAAAAAATAAACAAGTTTTATAAGATATACTCTTTGGTTGGAAAAAATAAAGAGGAGGAAAAAAAAACTGAAATGAATAGATATTGAATTTATTTTTACACTTGCTACATATAAACTCGACGAACTTCCCTGTTTTCTTTTACTTTTTTTTTAAATACAAATGTACACACTTATATTATATTAAAAGTCTTTTTTCAAGAATTTTTGTTATAAAAGAATTTTATTATTTGAGATTTTTAATTTTATTTAGAAAAAGAATAAATGAACATTTTAATTATTCAATAATAATTCAAAACTTTTAATAAAATGCCTTAATAAAACAGAGAAGAGGAGAAAAAAAATCTGCATAAAAAAACGTAGACAAACAGTCACTTTAAAAAGTCTCTAAAAAATTGTAGCCTAAAAAAATTTTTAATTTAAATAGAACTATTTAAAAAATTTAATGTAGAAATATTATTCTTTCATAAATTAAACTTAGCGATAAAATGGAAATTACAATAACATTTTTGAGCTAAAGAGAAATAGCTTTTGATGAAACAAAAAGAGTTCCAAATGATAAAACCACAAATTTCATAACGCACCTGATAAATAAAAACCTTCTTTTTACGAAAACATAATTTTTAGAATAACACAAATGGTAATAGTTTGAAAAGCCAAATAAAGCTGTTAAAAATATTGTCATTTTAATCTGAGAATAAATTTTTATTAATCGTAAAAATCTGTAGTCAAAAAGTATTCCAAGGAATGAAAAACCATTTTGAAACTTGAATAAATCAAAACATAAAGAAAAAATCATACTAATCACAAAACAACACAAAGCCAAAGAAATAATCAAATTTGAAAAACATGAGGAGTTCTTAATATTTATGTACATTTAAATTTCAATTAAATCGTTGAGAGTTCAACAAAAAAAAGATGCGAATATAAAAAAATAAGTTGTTTAAATACGAATCTTTTTTTTTAAATTTCATCGCAATGTAAAACACTAATATAATGAATGTGAATCAATTAACTAGTCTAAATATAAGTAAATCATAAAAGTTTGTAAAAATTAAAGGTATTACATTTATTATATTAATTTACACGTTTTTCCCAATTTATATGATTTTTTTATATAATATTAAAAATTTTAATAACTAAAATTGTCTACAATTCAACAACGACAACGGTAATCCCCATTAAATTTACAATAAATGTTATGATAGTTAGTTTTTTTGCTATACGCTTATAAATTATAATTGATAGTTTGCTAAAACTAGAGGAGAAAATTCGATATCCATAACTTTAATATTACATACAAGATAATATTATATATGTATATTATACTATTTCTATATTTATATATGCGTATGTAAGCACATAGGCTTTTGGAATTAAAAATACAAAGTCGCTCTTCCTACCTACGGGATTAATTACTCATATTGTTATGAAGTAGTAAGACAAAAAATACTACGTACCTACTATCGATAACATTATAGGAAGATAGGTAGGTTGTAACCAGCTACATTTTTAAATTTTAAATTTTATGTACATATTGTACATATTTGTATATACATGGATGTACAAATAAATAGATTTATAAATATATATTATATGTATATATGATAAATAGGCATATATGTAAATTCATATATATATATGCATTCATATTTAATATTTAAACGTACGCATATATTATGTACTAATACAAATACAAGAAGATATAGAATAAATTTTTAACTACTTTTCTGCTACTTGTGTGTTTTTAACTTTTCCCGTTTTTGTTTTTTTTTTATTCTTAATGTCCCTTTATGGTTATGCGTTTTTTTATATATAGGTATATAATTGTACAATAAACTTAAAAATATGTGTACCTATATCTATATGTTTATTTGTATCTAATTTTTGGTAGGTATACCTAGGTGCCTATTTTTATTTGGTTTTTACTTCCTCTATAAGAAAAGTATGTACCTACCTATAAGTAACAATATTTTTTATGCTGTTTTAAGGTTCCATGTTTTTTTAAATTCTACTTATGATTATTTATAAATTAAATAATATAGTGAAAAAAAAAATATAAATTTATTTTCACCTACTCATTAAAATATATGTAATCCTTTTTTGAAAATTTTGGCCATTTGATGTTATAAGGCGTTATTAAAATTCTGTAAATAAAAATAGTTAAAGTCAATTAAAAATTATTGAATAAATAAAATTGAAAATCAACTTAACATAATTTAGTTTTGTATTAAATAAAAAATTTGTTATTTTACTTGTTTGTTTGAATTATGCTCGATATTATGGTATTTGATAGTTCCAACATTAAATTTTTCTAATATTCAATAAAATTTATTTTTGAAACAATTGTTATATTAGACCTTGGCAAATTAGCTAATTACATTTAAAAAAAATTGATAGAAAAAAGTTTAATAAACTCTGTGTAAACTAAAAATAATATGAGCTCTTGGGTAGGTAAAAAAATATTGGTAATATTTTATAAGTAAATTGTAATTGTATTGGTTTGTATTAAGTAAATTACAAAAACATTTTATTTTTTATAAAATAATTAACCACAATTCTTAATAAGTAAGAAGTGAATTTTAGGAATATAAAAATTATTCTGAGTAGCAATAAAACTACATATATATGTAGGTACTTATTTACACATCTATGTTTTATAAATTTAATTTGAAATATGACATTATGAACCCTAAACAGAATTGATACCTAATGTGTTTTTATAAACAATAGTGATGAATGCAGAATGGTTTTTAAGTATAATTTTGTAACCAAAACCAAACATAAGTATTGCAAATACGTAAAATTTTTTTGAATTTAAAATTTATACTAAATTTAATATGACCATTGTATAAATTTCAACTTTTGAAACATTAAAATTATCCAGCTCTGTTTATTTATATGAAGAGCATATTGCAAGATCTAAAGAAGGTTTGCACAAGATCTAAATTAAGCTTGGATAAACTATTAATATTAATTTATATTAGCATAAAGGCAAAGAATGAAAATGTGTGACGTAAAATTACTATCCGATTTCATCAAAAAATTAGGCCCGATTTCTGCAAGTTGCTTGTTAATTTGATTCCATTAAATTCGCAGTAAAAAAATTGAAACAAAGGGTTGATTCATTTCAACTGCATTACATCATTCTATATTATCGTATCAATTTCGAGGCTGTAGTTAGAGTACAAATCGTATCAATTCCGAGCACTAAAATAGTTAGAGTAAAAATCCTTGAAGGCAATTTTTAAAAAAAATCAATATTTCATTCTTTTATATACATAGTAAGAGAAGCCTAGAAAAATATTCAAGCAAATTTGCTAATATTTTTATAAGTAATTTCCTCAAAAAATCTTCTAGTTCTTCTCTTGGTGAAAAAGAAAAACATAAAATTTCCAGAAAAGTAATTTATAATTTTTACTGGAGGGATCAGACATAAAAAATGTTTTTTCTAGATCTCAGAAATTGAAGTCCTCAAAAGTTGATAAATTAATCACGTTCCCAAAGTAAATTCTAATATTTGATATAATTTGGTTCACCGAAAGTTCAAGAATACAGTCGCCATTCTAATTAATCGCTACATAAACGATGAAATGTTTTTAGTATACTTAGCATAAAATTACTTTTATATTATTTATATTAAACAAGTAGTAACACTTGTTTACCAAATATTTTTATTTTGATATAAGTACAGATTTTGCCTTTAACGACCGGTTCCGTAAATTCTGAATTAGTACATATGTCTATATACATAAATGTAGCCAAATAGGTTACAATGTTTAGTGTAAACACATTTCTTTTCAATTTGAGTTGAGTAATATTCTTAATAAGTAAATATATTGATAATAATTGGTAAGTGGACATTTTTTTGAAGTTTTGTTCAAAGATATTAGTTTTGTTCATTTATTGGTTCGGATGACGTTTCAAAATTTCAAAATCACTTCAACTAACATATTTATGCTTTGTTATGAAATTTATTTATATTCCAAATTAAGAGTTAATCGTCTTATTTTAACAAAAACAAAGGAAATTTTTAATCATTTTAATATAACAAAATGTAGTCAACATTTTAAATTTGCATGTGTGCATAAATACATGTTCCTCTTTCTAAAGTACAACTCTAATATAAAAAGTTAAGATTTCATAAGTTCTCCACTTATTAAAATATGATTTTTAATCTATTTTTGACGAAATTTTCGTTGATATAAATTTAAATTTTTAATACTTATGTTTATGTTGCAATTTAGTTTTACATTCGCCTTGCTGCGAAAGTTTTGATTATTTTTAATCTTACAATTAGGTAAGTAGGTATAGTTAGGTACAGTTTCCCACTCGGTAAAAAAAAATTATTCAATTTCGTAAATGTATCTTACGTAGTTGTTGAACTATGCGGTAAAGATGATTCACCATGAAAATGGACAAATTTTAAAAAATATGTACAGATTGCAAGAATGCATTTTCTATTACACCTAGCTTAAACCAAAATATTTCTGGTACGTTCTTCTCTAAATGTTCTAGATTTGAATACAGGAAGAAGCAGTACTCATTTAATACAGCATCTTTTTTACTTTCTTCTAATAAATTAAGAAATCTGTTTAGAAAAGCCAACAAATAACATATTTCGAAGATAAAGCAATTTCGCGATTTAATATTAGCAACCTTTATTAGAGAAATAAATGTATCAATATTTCAGCAAAATTTTTAAATGTAGCAATTTCAGTATTTTGGAAGATTTGAATATCTTTGTATCCAAAATAAATTGTATCCAAGTGGGAACGCTGGTTAGGTATGTACACGTAACTACTTATTTCTTAATGATTCGAATTTAATATGCCATAACACTTTGTACCTATCTAATATTCCATTAAGTACCTAATTGAATTCAAGGGGTCTTAATTACTGCAATAAACGTAAATATAATGAGGAAATGTAATTAAATATAATGATTTTATAACTATAATTTCATGAAATTATAAATAATTTGTTGACAGTAAAAAATGGTTTATTCAATAATCTTAAAAAATTAAGTTGAAATTTTTAAAACAACTTATACTTTGTAAGATGTGAAGTTTTTCAGGGCAAACAAAATCCATTTTAGCTAATGTGATTGACTTACATCTTACTACCTATCAATTTAATTACTAAATATTTACAAATTTTAGTTATTTATTTTTATGTTTTTAATTAATTGAATATCTTAATCTAATGTAAATTGATTATGTTAAATAATAAATTCGAAAAATTATTTATAAATAGAAAAAAATCTCACATTTGCCAATTTTTATCCATTTAAAATTACAATTTGTAACGTATCCATTTATAAAACTCTATTAAAAATAAAAAAAAATAAAAAAGAACTATTTTCTCGTAAACTCCTCTCCAAATTTAATCGCAAAGTTTTTTTTAATTTGAATTAGGTATACATAAATGATAATTTCAATTTTCACAAAAAATAATTTTTTCTTTTTTCATTAATTTCTCCAATTTTTTTTTCTTTTTTGTTTTTCTTTTCTATAAAAAAAATTATATTATCTTTTTTAGTTTCTTTTGTTATTGATTTCTAAAATTCAAAAACCTTTTTTTATTTTTTAGTACACAAACACAATATTACGCTTCAGTATATATACATTCATGCATATACATATATATATCTATAAATTTGCTATAATATATATATTTATTTTTTTTAACTTTTTCACTTTATTTATTTGTTCATTGTGTGTATATTTTCAATACTTATTCAAAACACTTCAATTTTCTTTTTTATTATTTTTTTTTTACAACTTATTATAACACTTATAAACCATACATCGATGTTAACTCATCGCGGTACACTCACGGACTGTTTCTCTTTTCCGCAAAAATTTCAAAAGTTCAATAAATGACAACTAGCTGTTGACATTAGTGATGTGCCTTAAACAATTTTCTAATGTAGTAAAATATATAATGTAGTAGAATTGTTATCATATAAAATTTTATCATTTTATATTATGATATAAAATTTTATATTATTATAAAATATCCACACATATGGCAGCTTCAAGTGTGCACTAGAAGTCTATTCTAAGAAGCTTTCAATATAAGAGAAGATAAGTTACTTTTTGAATATTGCATAACAATATTCATAATTTATATTTTATATTTATTTTATTAATGTCACAAAATTATATTTTTCTTTAAATATGTGGAAAAGAAATGTTTTGAGTAGTGGAGAATACGAGAAAAAAGTGCACAAATAGTACCTGGTTCTAAGTTCTATGAATATAAAATCGTCGTTACCCTTCATAATCAAATCAAACACCGCACGCGCTCAACAAAGCGTCCCAGAATCTATGTGTCAGCAGAATTCCTCAAAATAACGAATCACGTTGTGCTTCCGTCCGTTCATAATGTAATACAGGCTCTGAACGACGAGAAACGACCTAGAAGAGAGGATGGACAAATTTAAGGAATTAGTAGTGCTGCTAAACGTACTTTTACCATCTTTTAAACTCCTGTACCGTGAAAAATTGAACGGTCATGGGACGCTAAATGTACTATTTTTCTAATCACTTCTTTTTAAAATGTACAATTTTTGAGTACAAAAAATACACATTTACAAAAAGTTATTATTAAAATACTATTTACAAAAAGAGTTTTTCCTGAAGAAAAATCTTAGGTATCTTTAATCTTATAATATCTTAGCAAATTGGAAATGGGTAAAATTTGATATAATTCATTAAAATATCAACATTTTATGAAAACTACTTTATAGTTCACATTGTTGTATTGTTGCGTCTGTTTCAAGAAAAATAGGGTCTTTAAATGAAATTTTTTAAAGCTTTAACGCTTCAAGATTGATCAACGTCATTTGCTTTTAAATTTTTTTTTTGTTTTAAAAGTCCAGTAAAAAATTTTCAAACTCCGTAACTACTTTAATTTAATTGTTTTTTTTATTTTTAAGGGCTGTTACATAAAGTTTGTAAAAAGATTTTGTTTAGAAATTTCGCGAATTTTTCCTACTAATTTTAATTAAACCTCAGAAAGCGTTGAGTCATAACATTTTTAAACATATTTTTTTTTTCAATTAAATGCGGAAAAATTGCAAATTTCTCAAAATTAAAAAAATTAAATTTTCTCAAAATTAAAAAAAATGGGCCGTAGGACAAAAAAACATTTAAAGAAGAAAAATAGACCACGTTTGTCGTATTTGGGCCAAAGGAGTAACACTCGTTTCATGGCAAATAAAAATCGAAGTGAAATTAATTTTTTTTTAAGAAGCAGATAATAATATAATAACTATTGAAAGTTAAGTTTTACTTTATTTCAAATTTTCAGTTTATTTATTATATAGAATATGGCATTTCTGGAATTCTCGCTAAAGTGTGTACACCACTGAGTTAAAATCATTTAAATATCTGTCAGCATTAAAAAGACAACCAAAGCAGAATTTTAATGTCAAACTGGAATTTTTGGTTTTTGATGTTATTAATTATTTTATTTATTTTTTAAAATTACAAATTAACTTAGGCATTGAAATTAAAAAATAACATATGTCAGAATTGGTGCAAAAATTGAATATTTGTCTCTAACGTAACTTTTCTGCTACAATAAAAAAAAAGTGTAAACGAATATTCCAAAAATTAAAATATGTAAAAAGAGTATTTACCATTAAGTTAATCTAAATTTAAAATGGTGTAAGATATAAAGATCTTAATCAAAAGAATTATAATTATCATCTTTAATTGGCATACCAAAAGTTTTTTGTTCGTCTTTGATAATAAATGAGATCAAGTGTAGGAATTATGCTATCGCAAACATGTGGTGAGCCAACAGTGTCTCATCCCGACTATGAACAAAATGCACTTCACCATAGTTGCTTGCTAGTTTTACTACGAGGTATTGGACCTGCCAAACCTAGGTCTTTGCAGAAAATATTTGAACGTGTTCGACGGATTAATAATGTGAAAATAACTGGTAAAAATAAGATAAAAATCAAGCACCTATGTATATTATTTAATTTTTTTCTTATTAGATTCACTTGGTAATCAACGGGATATATGGATAAGATACGTTCACGACTATCCGGTAGAAAATAGTCTTTGGGGTGACTTTCAAACTCATCGTCGTTTATTAGGTCTTATTACAATTGGAAAATTCGATACTCAACTTGAGTTAAACGAACTTTGTCGCTTACATGAATCTCTGAAAGTAAAATATAATGAAACTCTTTTTGATTCAAGAGCAATTTTTTTTGGTCCTTGCACTGAAAATACTCAAACGAAAAACGTGGAGGTTGTAAATGATTCAGTTCCTTCGAAAACCTTAGCCGAGACATCAAATAAAGAAAAAACATTAACAGACGAATATTCAACACCGTCGAATTTTAAAAGCGCAGCATTTTTCTACCAAGAGAATGATGTGTGTAATGATTTAGGTGAGTCAACTTACGTAATTTTTGTGTACATTTATGATTTTTTTTTTTGTAAACATATACTTTACGTTTTACATCTTTTAGACAAAAACATGATCGATTTTATCAGTTCTCTCTTTTGGATATTGGAATCTAAACGTTTGAAAAGGTCGTGTGAAAAAATAGATAAAGCACCTCTGTTATTGGCACCATTCGAAAAAAAGGATTTTGTCGGACTTGATATGGAATCTCGTACAAGTCGAAAGCGATGTATAGGTCGCATAACTAAAAATCTGGCTGACCTTACATTACAGGCTGGTTTACTTTCGGAAGCATTAAATTTATATCATGCAGCCATTGAAACTCTGCGTGCAATAAGTGATTCTTTATGGCTAGGTGCGGCGGAAGAGGGTTTATGTTCAACGTCTTCGATATTATTGTATCCAAAACTACGTTATTGCGAAGTATTCCAAAGAAATTGCAGTCTTCAAGAGGGCACTTCCCCGCAAAAATTTAACGCATATGTAGGACGAAGAAGATCAAGTGATTTCGCATCAAAATCAAGAGTTATTATTGAGCATGTAAGTGATGCGCCTCAGGAAAATCTAACAACAAATTTGTTCGAGAATTCCATTGCATCGAATTCATCGTCATCGTCATCAGTATCTTCAATTTTAACGAACTCATCTACCACTTCTTCGGAATCTACAACCGTAACAGGAAATTTGGAAAATAAAGGTACCAATTCCACTATCTTACCTGTAAACCTTTTGACTCCAGATGAAATCATTAACCAATATCGGAAGGCAATAATTAACTATAGCAAATATAGAAATGCAGGCATTATTGAGACCGAAGCAGCTCTTAAAGCTGCCCGAATTTGTATTGAACAAAATCGTAACTTAGATGTTGTTATGTTTTTACAAAATGTTCTTTATATCAATGTAAATATGACTGAAGCTGACAGAGTCAAGCGTTTTGAAGTTCTTACAGATTTATATCAACAAATTGGTTATAGAAGAAAAGCTGCATTTTGTCAAAGATTAGCTGCATGGAAACATGTAGCGCAAGGAAACCCAACCCCAGACTGGTCACAAAGCTATCGTTTGATGTTAGAGTGTTTCCCTGGGTACATGCTAAGTTTGGATCCATTAGAGGTTATTAATAATGCCTCAGGATGGCCTATGTTGCAAATTGATTTATTGCAGCAATTAATTATGGCCGCAAAACGCTTAGGTCACTCAGCACTAGCTACAAGACACATGACATACCTACTCCAGACTCAATGGAAAAACATGTCTTCAAGTGAACAGAAGGAAATGGCTCTTCAACTGCAGGTAAATACATATAATTTAATCTTTCTGCAATTAAGTTTTTTTTTTTAATTTGAGTCTTCTCACTAATATTAATTTTTTATAATATAGCATTATATTTTTTAATATATACAATACATTTTTAGAATTTGAGCGCACAATGTGAGGGGTCACCAGTAGCTCTTGTTTTGGAAAATGGAATAGTAATACCACCAGCAAATTTAACGGACATTCCCTATTGTTCTCAACTACTCGTAAACGAATTACAAGCTCATTTACGAGCACTTAAAATTATAATAACTAAAATAGACAGTGGACCATTCTTGTTCACTCCTATTCATTTCAGCTCATTGGATCGAAGAACTTCGAAGAAAGTAGAAAATAAAATTTGTAAGTAAAGCTCAAAGCTTTTCTGTTAATAATTTAAAGTAAATTTACTTTCAGCATTTTTTTGGGTTCAAAATGAACTATCTGAAGTTACCTTAAAACTAAAAAACACCCTGCCATTTGAATTGACAGTTAGTGATATGCGACTTCTCACTGCGGGAATAGTTTTTGAATCGTTGCCACAAACAGTTGTCCTGCAACCAGATGTCACAACACAAATAACGTTACACGGTACTCCCCTTGAATCTGGTAATTTAGAAATACAAGGGTATAGCACTCATACTTTGGGAGTTAAATCCAATTGCCGTTTGAAGCATATGAAGGATCGTCTTTTCCCTGCTAATTATGTGGTTGAAGTAATACCTACTTTGCCAAAAATTACTGCACAAACTTCATTACCTAAAACGGCCACATTTAGTTCATTATCAAACTCGAATTGTGTTATAACATCTGCTGCATTAACAATTTATAAGGGTGAAAAAAGTGAGTGTATCATAACTTTAAAAAATGATAGCATGATTCCCATAGAACATTTGGAATTATCATTGCATTCAAATGTAGACAATGATTTATTGAAAAAGATTTTCAATGTTGACCAAAACTTGGTACAATCTAAATTACCTATAGCGCCAAATTCTTCTATTGAATTTCCTTTGCTAATATATGGTGAGGCAGATTTTTTGTGTCCAATATCTAGTCAAACAGCGAACATAGTAGGTAATTTAATTTTTTGTTTAAAAAATAAATTTGGCATCAAATACATTCTTTTGTTTTATAGATTTAAATGGTGGACCACAAAGTTTGAGTTATTCAGCACTTTCATCGGGTCATGCTAGTCTACCCAGTCGGGTAAGCTCACCTGTACATCAAATCGTTGGCAGAAAAACTGATACAAACTCCAGTTTTCGTTCATCAAATTCAAGCACAATTGGTTTAGGTGGGCACACTTCTTTAGCTGCCTTGCCTCCTCTAGCAGTTGCAAACGGTCAAATCATAGAAGCTCAACTGCAACTTAGATACTCTGGCGGAAAAGCAATGCAAGATGGCTATTGCAGACAATGTGCTATATCGTTTGTTTTGGAGCTCTTACCTAGCGTGCAATTAACTGGCTGGGATGTTTTACCGGCTGAAACGTAAGAGTTTAAGAAGAATAAAAAATTTAAAAAGATAACTCGTTAATAAACCTTTTAATTTAAAGGGCTTCGCAATTCTATTTGGTGCTAGATATTTCAAATTTAACAAACCAAGAAATGTCATTGAATTACACTAGTAATAAAAACATTTTGATAGAAGCAAAAGAAAGCTGTCGCGTTCCGATACCAGTAGATAGATGTTCCTTGGAAAGATTATCTGATGATGTTGCAGAAATAGAAAAAAATAGTGCAAACTGTGATAGCGGTAGATGTTAATATATTTTTGAAGAAATTTTGTTTAAAATACGAATTTTTAGGCGCAATTTTAATCATGCCCACTCAAGGAGAAATCACGGAAAGAATTTGTTCAAATCACATATCTGAAAGAGTAAATTTAAGTTGGACATTGACTGGAACTGAAACGCAAGGTGTGGCTTCATTAAAAGGAATTAGATTAACAAACAGTATGATCGATTTAATTACTGTTGCTCCTCTTCAATGGAGTAAGTTCTCTAAGTTGTTTTACTTAAAAAAGTTGGTTTATTTTTTTTTTTTAACGTTATAAAGATGTTATGTTCAATAATACTGTCATTCAACCTCAATCTGAGTTCGTGTGCTCTGCTGGAGAGTGTGTTTCACTACATATTGAAGTTGGAAATCAGTCTCAATCACCATTACATCATTTAGCTTTAACGATACAGTTCTATCAAGATTATCAAAACGGCGTACATAGCTATCATTTAGAAACCAGGGTCATGATGACAGGAGCAAATCAGTAAGTACATATACAAAATATATTTTTATAGCCTTTCAGAGTATTTTTATTTAATATTTTAGAATTGTAATCCCAATATTAGACAAAAATAACACTATCGATCATGATTGCTCGGTTGTATTTTTTACTCCAGGGCGATTCAAAGCAAACTTGCAATGTAGATCTTTGCCAATATCAAATGTAATGAACTCCAATTCGTTACTACCTCAACAGTCACATCAAATAAAAGAAAACATTGGCACTGCTGGTAACAATTTAACAAACTCACTACAACGAAATCTTCCTAGCTATAGTTCATCATTGGGATCATCTAATATTGAATCGTGTAATGTACAAAATTATGCAGATGCGCTTGTTGGCCTTAATAATAATAATTTTGATCAAAATCAACATGTTTGGAAGTTCATTCCACCAGTAGAAATTACTGTAATAGAAGGTGTTTAACGTGGTTGCTAATTTACTCAATAAATAAATCTACTAACATAAGCTACGTTATAAAAAAATTCAAAAACTCTTATGGTCCAGCAAATATTGCTTAGATTTTATTTAAAAAGTTAAGAAAATTTCTAAGACATTGTCAGTTGTTGCTTTATTGATTAGTGTTAAATAAATAAAATATGCAAGTATTTTTTTATTTAAAGAGTTTAGAATTTCACTGTAATTCAAAAAATCTGAATATATTTTCTTTTTTTTTTTGTATGAAATGGAGAACAAAATTATGAATAGATACTTTAATGATTATTATATATTACGAAATTTAACTTTTCTAAAGGGAATTTCAATTAGTATAAAATTGTTTTCGTAATTTACAAATGCAATACATGTTTCGACTAAATGCAAACAAAAAGTTATATTTGCCCTAACGTTGAGAACCGTGGATACGTGGATACGCCAATACGTGGATATTTCTGCCAGTTTATCAATTGCTTCTGTAGCCAAAATAGTCTTTCATGAGGTTAACCAAGATGATTCTACTTGCCACTGATAGACTAGCTTATGAAAACTGATCATATTCTTTTCATGCACATTTGGCTGCACCATACTTTCGAAAATTGACATATGAAAAACGCGATTTTTTTATGTTTTAGAAAATTATTTAGAATCAAAATCGTTCTGAAATTTCTTACGTTTGCTTACTTTCACTATATTATAATTTATCCTTAAGAAAATATACGTTCCAAAAAATATTCAATAATAAGCATAAATAAACATTTGTGTACATTTTAGATAAAAATGTTTTATGTACAAATAATGTAACTATGTACATATATAAGAATCTATATGTATGTTCTAGGTAGCATCGGTACTTTGCTTTCAATTGAAGCACTAGACGTCATTTGAATGGCAACTGCGAAGTATAAAGTGAAATAATTAAAACACAGCGACGACGTCATACTGCAAAACGTAGGGGATGGGTATCAATTGGTTCAATAATTTAATTTACTTCAACTAGCGTTTTTTTGATCGAGTTCGACGTTAGTGGCATGCATTTTTAGAAAAGTTTTTATCGTACTGCTGAATAAACAGTTAATTACACATAAAAACCATTTATTATTTTTAATGTAAAAAAAACGTTCAACTTAATACAGTTTAAAGTGCTTTTGACAACTTTGGATGTTATTAAACCTCTTTAAATATGATTTTGATCTCTTTAATAAAATAGGCATACGAAACATAGACTGCCTGTTCAAAATTCATTTTCCTCCCAAAATTGAATTACAGCTAGGCTTCCAGTTTTAGATTAGCTAACAATAATAAACAATGTCGAAAGAAATTTGAATAATTTTTAATAATTCTTAATTTTTCATAACTTAATAATGAACCAAATAGTTATATCTGATATAGTAACCTCATATCTGTAAAAAAAATAAAATGACAATCATATCTGTAAAAAAAAACGGTACCATATTATAGTCAGATATTGTCGCGCCGGCATTCTCGAATTTGTACAAATATATTAATATAAAAATATATTAAACTTCTGTATGAAACTTTAAAAATTTCCGTGGTAAATATTTCTATCGATACATAAAACTAATTTTTTTTGATAAGCGCATATCGGACTTGTACACGTGTTAGCAAAAATACTGTAATTCTAGAAATTTGGTCATACGCGTATTAACCATAATGACATTTCAGGCGTTTTGATAATATGTCAAATCAACTTGGACGCATATGCTGTAATAAATAAATTCAAAACAAAAAGAAATTTAGTTGAGAAGTTAAAATGTTTGCGAAAAAATCGGTCTATAATTACAGACATTAGCTTTGTTTTACATGAATGTTTAAATTCAAATTATTGATATTTTCAAATTTTCAATTAGAAAAGGATCAAAAACATTTACTTGAGCAATTAAACAACGGGGGAAGGAATTTGGAAATTTGCTGAAGACAAGCAGGTTATAGTAAGAAAAAAATGTTTTATTTTGAAAATAAAAGAAATTTCATGCAGGTTTTTAGAATATACGTTTTATATATTAGTTTTTTATTAATGTCACAGGTTTGTAAAGGTATAAGTCCATAAATGAATCTTCCGCCAGGAGTTCCTCCCGGCATACCCGGTGTGCCGCCCCCAGCAATGGGATTCCCGGCTATGATTCCACCATTTAGCGTGCCGCCGCCTGGATTTGGAGCTCCGCCTGAAATATCTCCTTTTTCAACCATATCAACATCCAATTGTGAATGGAGTGAACATAAAGTACCAGAAACAGGTCGTATATATTATTATAATAATGTTACAAAACAAAGCTCTTGGGAAAAACCAGATGAATTAAAAACTCCAATTGAGAAAATCATATCGGCATGCCCGTGGAAAGAATATCGGTCAGATACTGGAAAAGTATACTATCATAATATAAATACAAAAGAGTCAAAATGGGAAGCTCCTCCCGAATATATAGAAATGCAAGCCAAAGTCAAGGCAGAAGAGTAAGAATAAAAATTATTTTAAAATTAAAAAACTACTTAAATTTTACTTTTAGAGCCGCAGCCGCTGCAAAGGCTGTAGCAGCAATGACCTCTTCATCTATGGGTGGTTTAATATTGCCTGGTATAATTCCACCCACTGTTGTGATCCCACCTACCAATATTGGTTCTGCACCGGTTACTCCTAAAATTTCTACGCCAGATTCTGCTATTTCCCCAGCACCTAATACTCCAGGAAGCGCAGAGAATTCTTCTTCAGCTCTTGAAGCAAGTATGGCAGCCACTTTGGCAGCTATTGAAATGCCAGCCACTGAAGCACCTGTGAAAAAAGAAGAGCGTAAACTTAATTTCACTAACTTTGAAAATGAGAATAAACGTAACGTAATTTCAGCTAAGAAGATTTCGACGTCCGTGTCTGATGATACTTCTGTTGTTATGACATTTAAAGATAAAAAAGAAGCTATTGAAGCTTTCAAAGATTTACTCAAAGAAAAAAATGTTCCTTCGAATGCAAACTGGGATCAGTGTGTTAAAATTATTTCTAAAGATCCAAAATATGGCGCCTTCAAAAATCTAAATGAAAAAAAGCAAGCTTTTAATGCTTACAAAACGCAAAAACAAAAAGATGAGAAGGAAGAATCCCGTTTAAGAGCTAAGAAAGCAAAGGAAGATTTGGAAGAATTTCTGATGACTACAGAAAAAATGAATTCAACCATTAAATATTACAAATGCGAGGAAATGTTTGGAAATATGAAACTTTGGTCGTCGGTTCCTGAAAATGATCGTCGAGATATTTATGAAGATTGTGTATTCAATTTAGTAAAAAAAGAAAAAGAAGAATCAAGAGTTATGAAAAAGCGTAATATGAAAGTCTTAGGGGAGTTATTGGAAAACATGACTTCTATAACTTACCAGACTACTTGGTCTGAGGCACAAGTAATGCTACTGGAAAATTCTGATTTCAAGAATGATGTTAACTTGTTGGGTATGGATAAGGAGGATGCACTAATCGTTTTTGAACAACATATAAGAATGTTAGAAAAAGAAGAAGTGGAAGAGAAAGAACGTGAAAAAAAGAGAAATAAAAGGCAACAAAGAAAAAATAGGGATGGATTCTTAACTCTTTTAGATTCATTACATGAAGAAGGCAAATTAACATCTATGAGTTTATGGGTGGAATTATATCCCATAATATCTTCCGATTTAAGATTTTCAGCAATGTTGGGACAAAATGGTTCCACTCCTTTAGATTTATTTAAATTTTATGTTGAAGACTTAAAGGCTCGGTTTCATGATGAGAAAAAGATTATTAAGGAAATTTTAAGAGAAAAGGGATTTACTGTACAGGTTAAAACTACGTTTGAGGATTTTGCTACCATAGTATGTGAAGATAAGCGTTCCGCTTCTTTGGATGCAGGAAATGTTAAATTAACTTACAATTCTTTACTTGAAAAGGTAACAAAAAACAAAATCTAATTGCAGATATACAAGTTTTCCTTTTATACTTTAGGCTGAAGTAACTGAAAAAGAAAGAATCAAAGAAGAAAATAAAAGAATACGCAAAATGGAATTAGAATTTAAAAACATTTGGTTAGAATCTGGCATTTCAATTCTGGAGCCATATGAAATGGTTGCAAAAAAGTTAGTAGATAATTTGGAACTTTTCGAAAAGTATGAAAAAGAAATTGGTTCAGTTGAAAAAGTTTGGAATGATTTTATTAAAGAAAGTGAAGATTCCTGTACTCATCACCACTCTAGATCTCGCAGGTCTAAGAAAAACAAGAAGCACAAAAAAAGAACGAGGTCTAGTTCGAAATCAATGGTATTTTTTATTACTTAAATGCATACGTATAGATATTTTTGTAAATGAAATTATTTCGACAGGATGAGGAATCAGATATCGAAAAAGAAAAAAGAAAGAAAAAATATTCAAGATCACATTCAGTAAGTATAATATTACACTATTATATTTGGCTAAGTTGTAATTTGATAATCATTTAGTTATTATGAATTTGATATTATTTTCGTATTTTTATATTAAATATTGCAGCGTTCCAGCTTTAGTAGCGGCAGTATGACCAGCGAGAAAACTTCAAAAAAGAAGAAAAAGAAGAAGCACAAAAGAATTTCCCCTTCTGTAAATGATTAGTATTAATGTAATGATGTTATAAAATTCTAATAAATATATTTTATTTTAGCCATCTTACGAGTCTGATCATCGCGCTCAAGACGCTTCAGAGTTATCTATCCCGCTGGAAAGTCCTAAAACTTTAATAATTTCACACAAAAAGAAAAAGAAGGAAAAGAAGCGTAAAGAAAAACGTCGATCACCTTCAATTTTGACACATAGTAGCGTATCAGATAAAGAATATGATGTAATAAGTTCACCCAAAAATGGTCATGATGATATTTTGAATGAAAGTGAATTAGAATCCAAACGAGCTGCACTTTTAGCTCAATTAAATGAACAAATGGAAGATTGATACTAAAACTTATCACATAATAGATTATTAGCGAAAAGAAAAATGAGTTTTTATACCGACGAAGAAAATTTAAAATTTTGTCAAAATATAGATAAGTTTAAAATTGCTCTAATTAAAAAAATTGATTTTCATTCTAGAGAAATTAAAAATGATAAATAAAAATTCTAAATTCTTATTTAACTAATAATTTATCCTTATATTTTAAAACAAACATAATATATAATTTAGTCTAGATTTTCAATATGAATATTTTTGGTAGAAATATAGTAGTATTGACCATTTTTATAAAAATCGAGATTCTTGTTCTATTATTCTTTTATGAATCTTTTTACTGTTCGAATTAAGGTTGTGAGAGGTTTAACCATAATTTTTACATTTTTTTCAATCCTTTATCCGAATTCACTTTACTTCATTTAGATGAAGCGTTCTTTTTTTTTTAAAATAATCAGTGAATCCTTTTTAGTGACTTGTCTTCATTTATAGTAAAGCATTGACAACATTTTTTTGGCGATTAGTAGAGTTTACAAATTATGAAAATATTCTTATTTATTTTAATTTTTATATTTACATTACAATTACATACAAAATTACAGTTATAAAAATCTTCATTACATTAAGAATATGATAATTTACAACTAAATTTTACTTTGACTCAGTTTATCTAGTACAAAAGATTGGAAAATGTTATAGTTGATGAATATTTCTTTCCAGACTTTTATTATGTTCAAGTTGTAATTCCCAATTACAATCACTTAGCTTTTTCATTTTACTTTATTGATTTTGCAATAGAATAATTTGCAATTAAATATTGTTTGGCAATAGATCTACAGTTATGAAAATTTATCTAAAAGTGCGTTTTATCTTGATTTTTTATTAATCTTATTCTTTAATTTGTTTTTATTGTTCTATTTATTAAAAAAAGTATGCGCATTTGAATATTGATTACCATTAATTAACGATGAATCTATAATTGAATTTACGATGTTGTCACAACTTCCATTATTTTGTATAACATTATTGTTTAATTTATTATATAAAGATTCAGAGTCTGTATTATTTAATTGTCCAACGATTTTTGGTATCTTGTCGCTATCTGTTATTATATTGCCATTTGTAAAATTATCAGTTGATATTTCTGGAGAAGAAGATCTATAATGCTGTTTAATTATATATTTATTATTTTTAGAATTGTTATTGAATTTTCCATTATATCTTGTATCTGGTAAAGAAAAGTTACAATTTTTATAAATGTATAAATCTTTTTCAGAATTTTTAGGATGTTTGTGTTCACTGATATTATATCGGTTAAGAATTTGACGTTGATGATTTTTTTGTGACACATTATCACTGCGTGGTATAAGTAGATTTGTTGGCGCTAAAAATGAAACATTTCGAGAATTTGTCGCATTCTGCACATTTTTACGATTATTCAATTTTTCCATTGATTTTCTGGAATTTAAAATTTCTGGACAAAATTGCATTCGGTCATTTGTTGTTTGTGTTGAATTAATGCTTTCTGTATTTTGTGATTTAGTTTCATTATTTGAATATTGTTTCTGTAATGTTGCATTATCACTATCCATAGTGTTGTCAGAGCCTTCGTCTTCATCTTTTTCGTCATAATCGTCATCATTATGATCATCATAGCTCTGGGTACCTTCATTTTTATTAGCTTTTTGTACTTTTTCAGCTAATTCTAGCCAATGTTTTCGGTTGACTCGCACTCCTTCCACCAACGGTTCAAGTTTGTCTGATAGTTTTGCAAAGGCCTACAAAGATATTTCTTATACATATTTGAATAGTTTTAGAAATATAAAGTATATTTTCTTAATATTACATCATATAATGGAATACATATTGATTCTATAAAACCAACTTGCATCATAGGTAGTTGATCTTCTTTTTCTCTGTTCATTATATCCTGCCAGAAATTATATAATTGAAATAATAATTGTTTAAGTAAACAAATTCATAATTCTTAATAGTTTTTTATATAAAAATTAATTAGACTTTGAAAGTATTTTAGCAAATTGGACTAAGTGCAATTAATTTTATTTCAATTGTAACATGAAATACATGTATGTACACGTTTCGTTTGATTAAACATTAACTTATATGTATATTTTTGACCTTTTTAAAAAATACATATAATTGTATTGATTCAACAATTTTCGCAATTTTTGAATATTGTGCATAAAACATTTAAGGTAAATTTTTGCTGTCTTACTTATAATATCTTAACTGGCTGCTTTGGTATTGATTTACCATAGATACTCTTCGTATCTATGTTACTTATTAATTGCTCCATTTTTTTTTAAATTGTAAGTACAAATTTTGTATAGATATTTATTTAAAATCTAATTAAAATCGAGTTAAATCAGTAACATTAGCTCTTCAACTGTGAGATAAATTATGCTTTAACTTACTTGTCCGTTTGCTTAAACTTTTAAAATCTTTAAACAAATAAAAAAATTTATTTTGAAAATATTTATATTTTTTCTTACAATTGGTGTAATATTTAGTTTTTCCTTCTCCATATCACCCTGTTCGAAAAATTCTGACGTAACTAAATCAGCTATTCTTTTTTCGATTTCCCATGGCTTTGTGATAGCTGATAGATCACATACAGTCATACTCATTGCTCTTAAAAGAGCCCGAGGTTCATCATCGTACCAGTAGCTAACAGGTTTCTCTGCAACATAGTTTAAAAATGGTCCACGTTTCCTATGAAAGGTAAAAGGAATAAAGAATTTAAACAACCCATTTATTTTTATTGTATAAAATAATTTTTTTTTATACCTAAAATATACTGCTAAATCAGTCGACAGGATGGCATCCTCAAGAACATATATCACACGACTATAATCTTCTGATGATAAATTCGATAAAATTTGGTTACCAGGGCTATTTAGTATCATCAAACACTGATCAAAATGATGATGCTCCATAGTTGAAGTTGAATATAATCGGGCCAATGGTGAGGATGCTCTGCAAAATCAATGATTTAAATGTTGCTATCCAATAAAAACGATTTATTTACTTAATTTGAAATGAGTTATTGGTCCCCCGATGATCTAAGTCGTGACACAAACAGCCAATTATTAAAGCAAGGCACTCTATTTCTCCAAAAATTTTCCACCATTGTGTAGCCTATTAAATTTTTGTTAGACATAGGTTTGTTATAATAGATGCATAGGTTTGTAATAATAGATGCAAAAAATTTTAAAAATATGTAATTATATTTTTGAAGATATATTTCGGAATAATATTTACGAAATTTTGTATATAAATTTTTATTACTTAAATTCAATTAAAATTAAATAATTAGATTTTTATTTATCCATATTACATAACAAAGCAAGAATGTGGTAACGTTCTTTATACCAATTTACTAATATTTAATATTTTGTCGAATGCTTAATGGACAAAATAGATTTTGAAGGAACTAACTAGTTTTTAATTCATTTTGGAATAAAAATAATTATCAATATACCAGACCTCTAACAAATTTACTTTAGCTTTTAAATATAAATACATTTAGAAAAAAACAACTAATTTTTTTTGCATCCAGCATTAAATACGTTAAATTAATGAATTTAATTAAAATTTCAAAATGCAAGTGTGCTGAACCCTAACAAATATCTTTTACTTACCGTTAAAATAGAAAACATCATTTGAGCAACATTAAAAGCGTGTCGCCAATTGTGATAAGTTACATTTCTATAATTTTTTTTAACACTTAGTAACCATCGGCATAGTACTTCGTATTCTATATGAAATCTTTCAATAAAATCTAAATCTAGAAACATGCGCAAACATGCCTAAAATATAAAAAGCAAAAATACTTAATTTTATTAAAGTTTTATTTTAATTTAAAAAAAAAATCATTTTAGTGATCTTGACAAAATTTTTAAAAAATATTTAACTTCACTCAAAATCCCAAATTTCTTTAGATTGCATTGAAACTTTAAGAAAAGAATTACCTTAAGCGTATCATCATCACTCAGATATAAATCATCAAATTTAAAATCATGTAATTGAAAATGAGCAGATGAAGGAATTCTCAATTTCTAAAAATGATTTTAAATATCATATAAATAACACATATGTATACATTTTATTTTATAATTTTTTTTTTCTACTTACTCCTAATCTTTGAGCATCATCAATTGAAGCAGATGCATGATAACTAAGCACTTCTAATGTTACACTCTGTTTGGCCATAGCAATTATCGCTTTTTCATACATATGAGTATTATGAATACCCATACCACAAAATATGGCGAATGCTTCAACGAAATTTTCATCATTTTTTGTAAAGCACTGTTAATAAAAATATTTTGTTAAAAAAATATAATAAAATAATTGATATTTTATTTACCAAATCATCAAATTTATTAATTAATTGAATTACACCTATTATTTGTCCTAATGAGTTTTTTATAGCCATACATAAAATAGATTTGTGTTTAAATGTTAAATTTTCATCAACACTGGGATCAAAACGGCTGTCTTCATAAGCATTTGGTATGTTAACAGTCTGACAATAGAACAAAGAATGCAAGAATTAATATTTGTATTTATATTTGTTTGTAAACGAAGACAACTAAATATGTACATATATTAATATGTACATATGTATATTTCAAGATATTTTAATTTTTACCTCACCAGTTGTAGCCACGTGCCCTGTAATGCCGATATTAATAGGAAATCTTGATTCAAAGGGACTAAAATCAAAAAGAGATAATATTGATGAAGTCAAAATTTTGAAAACTTTTTTTTTTTGGCAATTCTGTATAATAATTTACTTTATGTGTTTGGTATATAGCAATGAAAATATTTAATATTTTCCAAATTAAAGAACTATACAAATCATCTTAATTCAAACCTATATTTTCGCACCTTGTTCTTGATTTAGTATCATCTTCACTTAGATCATTAGCTTCAAAATCAAATACCCGTGAAAAACTTCCTTTCGATGCTTGATGCACCAGCAAAATTTGAACTCTTTGGCATTGTATTAAACTTTGCATATGAGTTAGGATACGTAATACCATGTGCTCGATAGTGCTTTGTTCTTCAAATATCATACGCGCTAAATCTAATAAAACTTGATTTCTTTTTATTTCTAATTGAGATTTCTCATATAGTTGAGCGTTACGTAAACCGATGCCACAAAATTGTAAATATGAAGCAAAAATCTATAAATAAAAATTTTAATTCTTTATACAACTAAAGCAACTAATTTTATTAATATACCTTTTCATCATTCTCTGTAAAAGATTCACCTTCCAATTTGTTCATAACTTGAGCAACTCCTATAACATCACCAGTAGAATCTTTAATTGGCATACATAATAAAGCTTTTGTTCGATAACCCGTTTGGCTATCGATTTCTCTGTTAAACCTGTAATCCTTAAAAAATAGGAAAAACAAAAATCATTAGTTTCATTATAAACATATGGTGAAAGAAATAGTACAATACGAAATTTTGAATTCTTGATTGCAAAAAAAACTGTTTCAAATAAATAATTTTTGAGTAATTTAAGTAAAAAATTTGTAAAGTATAGTAAAATGTAGTTACCTTATAGGCATCTGGAATATTAACTGGTTCACCACTTTCAGCTACATGACCAGCTATACCGGTGCCCCAATTTACACGAACTTCATTCTGATTTTCCATTTCTTCTACTGTACTTTTCGGACACACATCGAATAATTTTGAAACCAAGCATCTAAAAAACAAATTATTCCAATAAATACAAAATTTCAGTTTATGTACGTATTCTGAGAAACTCACTTTTTTGAAATGCCTTTAATTCTATCACATTTACTTTGAACAAGAAATAATGAACCCCGATCAGCATTTAAAAGAATTGAAACATTTTGTAAAATTTTATGACACAATGATCGAATATCTAATTCATCGCAAATATCCTTAACCTATAATTTACGGCAAATAACAAGAAGATTGTTTTTTTATTTTTAAAGCTCATAAAACCAATGTATATTAGCACAATTATATAGGATGACCATTATGAAAAAATGGAAACCCCAAATTAAAGTTATTTTTAATAATACGTTGCAAAAAAAATTAAATAAATTATTTAAATATCTATACAAAATAAAAAAATATTAAGATATTAGCAGATTTTTTTGAAAAATTTTTAAATGCTCACCAGCTCAAATATTAATTCTTTTTCATCCAAATGCTTTAATTCATTTCTGGAAAGCCTCTGTGGTCTATTTGAAGCACCCGATATAATGTGATGATTGCAATTTGTATTATTACAACTATTTTTTATGTAACCAGAATTAATACTACTATTACTACTAGTGCTTGTGCTATAACTTTGATTTGTTGCACAATCATTCGGGTAATGATAACTATTGCTAGCACTACTACTATGATGATAGGTATGAGGATTATTATTATGAGGAAAGCCTATACTTAAAAATGTTGGTGTGCCATCAATTGTATTAACAATTGGTTTAACTAATCCACCACGTTCAAATTCATGCGCTGATATTTTTCTAAAAAAAAAATAATATTAAAAAATTAAATTATTTGAATCGAATAAATTTAAGATAAAAATTTGAATAAATGCATGAGTCTTAGCAATTTACTTCTTCTTTAATCAATTGTATCATTCATTAAATATTTTAAATAACTTATTGCAATGAACAATTAAATTCTATGTATGTACCTTACAGGTGTTGTTGCACCGGAACCGCTGCGTGACGAACAATTTTGTTGTCCGTTATTTTGTGTTGGTGAACCTACAACATCGTTACCAGCAGATGTTGCATGTGATACCAACCATGCGTCTACCAATTGACGTGTAGCTTTTCTAAAAACCAAAAAATGTATTTAAAATATACTTATATAAAATACACTTAAAAGAAAAAAAAAATTCAAAATGTTTTACCTTAAAAAATAGTCTTGTACGAATTCTTGATTTTCATCCATCCATGCTTCCATATTGGCATACTCGGCATCATAACGTTGTTGAGAAGATGGAAGCATTTGTAATTGCAGGGGGACACTAGAACGAGATCCAATATTATCAAATCCCGATCCCGTGCCCCCCTGCTCTGAAGGCATTCTGGTATTGTTATTCTGGGTATGCAATCCTATTAGATTGCACTGTTGTTGATTTTGTAATTGAGACTGTAATAATGTTTGCGATTGTTGTTGATTATGAGAATTATGTTGACTTGTCTGTGGTTCCTCTATGCTACGCAAATGTAATCCTAATAAAAAATTAAAAAAAAAAACTTTGAATAAACTATGAATAATATTAATTTTAAAAATAAATTTATAAACTCAAAAACGAAAATATTTTTTACTGATCACAAGTTATACTAATTGTTACAAAGGATGGAGGCACTACATGTTAACGAAATGTTAAGAAACTATTTTTAATGAAATATAATTTAGGTAGAATATTTGTCATAAGTAAGCACCGTAGTCACGCGTTCAATATAAACCCGATTTTCATGTAAGTGAAGGTAAACAAAAAAAAATATTTCTACGTTAATTAAATTTATTGTTCTTGAATAAAAAAAACAATATAATTCATAATTTTATAAGTGAAACTCATTTCATAACTCATAAATTTATAACAAAAGTCACAAACTCATAAATTTGAAAATAAAAACAAGAAAAGAAAATTTAAGTAAACTGAAACATTCAAGGCTCTGAAGAATTTTCATGCTATCACGATATCATCTGATTATGAGTTTAAATAGAGAAAAACAGGTTCATATAAAAGAATATAAGAGAGAAGTTTTTAAGTGTTCGTCAAACAGAGTTGTTAATGATAAAAAATTGCTGTTCATATAATCCCGATGTTAATATAATGGAATGCCAATGCAATGGTCTATTCTTGAAGCGCTCGTTTGAGATCGCAAAGAGATAGGTTCTTGAAATTCGACACAGATGCATCTTATTACTCCACTTAAATTGGTATTGAAAATAATTTAATGAATGAGTAGCCCACGGGAACCTACCGTATAAGCTTCAAAAAAATTCTCCAAATATATTCATTAGGTATATCGTTCAAAATGTCGTTCAAATCTCTACAAATTTTTTTCGATAACAGTTTCAAACATTGGACTTCTAAAGTCCCAGCTCCTAAGAAAAGCTTTTTAAAAAGCTAAGGTAATACGATTGTGCTCCATAGATAGAGTAAAATAAACACCAAAATTAAATGGTAAAGATCAAGAAAAAAGATAAAGAATTAAATGGTACTGCTAGAATTTTGATTTACTGTAAGAACTTCACAAGAATTATATAAAAATTGTTATACTAAAGTGTATTTTTGGAATAATAATATTCTTTCAAGCACCTATGCTTTGTGCGTGAACTGTGTGACTATTTAAGCGTGTATTGACTGTATATCAATTATAAAGAGCATAAAAATTCTCATAAATGTTGCCAAATAAATTGGCCGCTATTTTAAAACTCTCCATTAAAATACCAATAATTTTGACACAAGTAGCTTTTAAGGATTTCATTGCATGTGTTATTCTGAAGAAAACATGTTGTGTTGGTTTGAACAAAAAATATGCTAAAAAATTCCAGTTGTTAAAAATATTTATATTCCACTTATAAGATGGATTTGTTATAAAAACGGAAAAATCTGTCGCGCGAATATATTCCAAGGGTTTCTTAATATGGATTTATATATATGTTTTTATGAAGAATAAAAAACTTATTTCAGAGCTAAATAAACACATATTTTTAATGTTAAATTAAATTAACAGTTCACTTGAAGTATTTTTCATTGATCATTTCAGCTTCTTCGATATATTCAATCCATTTAATATTTTTTTATAATTTTAATGAAATTCAAATTTCAATAGAAGCGGTTGCCAATTCAAAAAAAAATTAGAGCCTGATCGTGTATCTCGCTATTTTACTCGCCAAGTGAGAGGAAAGTGAGTAACTATCATAATATATTGGCGTATAATATATTTGTAAATTTATTCACTAATTGATTTTGAAAGTGAAACGTTCAGTGGATAATTTGAGAAAAAATGCAAAAATCTAATTGATAAAATGAGTAATCTTATTAGAAAAACGTTGAATTCTGATTTGAAAGTGAATAAAAAGTGAGATGACAAAGCGAAATACATCATTAGGCTGTAAAAGGTATGACCTTTTACACAACATTATTTACTAACAACATTATTTAGAAATATTCCACTTTTAAAGTGCAATTATTTTTCAAAAAAAAAAAAAAATTTCGACAAAAATATTCCACTATGAAATAAAATAAGTATTATAATTTTGTTTATAAACATAACAACTTTTGCAACATTTATTGAAATTCTTACAATCTCCAAATTGTGAAAATTTTACTAATTGTATACGTAGGAATATGTGACATTCTCACTTCTCATACCATTCAATTGAAATTACAATTTTAAACAAGATTTTGTGCTACCAATTAGTTTTTCTTTAATAAGTTTTAATTTACTCCACTTCATTTCTTCGTTAAGGATTTCATGAAAATTTTGACTTTATTGGTAATTTTTCATATTAAAATAAAAATTTAATTTTTGTATATTAAAAAAAAAATTGTATGTATGTATGTATGTACGTATTTTAATATTCACCTTGCCATCGCCTTCTGAAATTGCAACGACATGATAATTTGTGGCTACATGATGCACTGTTGCATAACTGCATTAGTTCTGAACTGGGAATAGCTGTGTAGTCTGCAAGATTTTAAGAAAAAAAAAAATTTGTTTGAAAAGAAGATTCTTGTTTTCTGCTTTTGCGGTAATAAAATGAAAATATGAAAAAAAAAATGTGTTTCTTAAACCATCTTACATACATATTAATTTTATGCTTAATTTTAATTCGATATAAAATTAAAAAGCAATAGAACATTTAATTAAATTTTCGATATTATTTTTAATAAGTAACTAAAATGAAATGAAAATATACATACATACATATATGAACGTATATTTTTTTGTTAGTTTTATTGCAAAAAAATTTTAATTTAATAAGCGCATTTTTTATTTAATGTGCGTTATAGTTAAGCATATAGAGAATAATACAGACATTTATGAGGTTATAAAATTTAAGCAGTTCATATTTAAGTACAGTGCATTTGATAAAATAAATTCAATAATTCTCGAAAATTTAGATGAATTATAATTTTTAATTTAATTCTGCTTTCCAGAAATATAATTTTAAAAGGTGAATATTATTACAATCTTCTTAAGAATCTTTATTTTAAAATTATTTGCGAACAAGATTTTCTGTGAGAACTTAATAACGCATATATACGAGTACATACATAATATACTTATACAATTAACTAAGGCCTTATAACTGGCGGTCATCTTAGGAAAATTAATAAAAAGAATATTAAATTTTTGGAAATTTTATACAATAGTGCTTGTAAAAAATATTCTTGCGACGCAATAATTACATATTTAATTATTATTTATTGTATTATTTATTTAATTTTATTAACTCCATTAATGTAACAAATGATTTTCAAAATTATGTGTTAAAATCTTTTCATAAACATTTCTATTTATGGATCGCTACAAGCATATTATAATCAACGTGAAAAAACATATATTTTGGCCAATTATATTAAAAACGTTTATCTAACCCTTATGCAGTACACATACATAATTACTTAACTAAAATATTGATTTTCTATAATATTAAACACACCATTATATTAAATCTTTTAATTACAAGGACATAATGGCTGTGCAAATGCAATATCTTGTATCGGATTTTTTCTAATTTTACAGGAAACGAAAAAAAAAAAACATTCTAAAACAATAAAAAATTCCTAAAACACTGCTCATATTATAATTTTAAAACTAAGTATATTCTTTTATTTTCAAACATACTATTTAGTATGTTTGAAATATATGTAAGTATATGGAAGTACGCGGTCTTGTTCAACTAAATTCTGGGGGATATGAGGTTTTCATGGAAATATATTATTTTGTTTCAGTTGCTAATATTTATTTTTACCTCTTATTTTAATTTATAACGTATAAACATTTATAAATTAAATATAAGTATACTTATTTAATTATAACAAATATGAACAGATAAAAATACATTTATCACAAAAATTAAATAATTCTGTTCATTATACTTTTAAATAATTGCAGTTTATGTATTATTATCGGCCTTGTCTTGATTATTAAGTTGGAACAGCCGATTCAACTATTTCAATTATATAACGTGTATATCGTGTTATTTTAAATTTCCATAGCAGAATTCTCTATATTATCGGATTGTTAAAGATCGGTTTAATAACTAAAGTTTGTATGACATTATTGACTGCTATACACCACTTAGATTTTTATCTTTTTCCAGCGGTTTTGTTGTTACGATTTTTGAATTATTTTTAGGATATTCATTGCGTATTTCGTTAAGAATATCTTTAATATCACCGTCTGAAATAGTTTTTTTCGGATAAAATTTATTTTAAAAGGATAAGAAAAATCAAATATAAAATTAATTCTTTTCTTTTTTCTAAAATAATATTTATAATACTTACAATTGCAAAGAATTTCGTAAAAATAACATTTTATAAATATGATAAACGAACAAGGTAGGTTCCGTATATCTATATCTTTTTTAATAGAATTTTTTGACATGAAATTTCTCGTAGCAAAATAATGTGTTGGTAACGAGATATTGCAAGACAGAAATATACCTACGGCAAATCGAAGGGTTACGTTTTATTTAAATTAAATTAAGAAAAAGTTGTTTCTAGCTTATAACATTTTGCACCATGGTAAAGAATCTTTTTCCGAATCTAATGACATCAAAATGTCAATTTCGAAATTTTGGGGGGTTACGAGGAATTAAATTCGTCATAGTCAATAAGTATAGATAAGTTAATACAGTAGAAATTTGGTCTAGTGAAGACAAAATTTTAGCATTGATTGCTTTACACTGTAAACAAGAATTTTAATGCGAGCCCAACTTAGTAAACCAATTTTACAAAAATATTTTTTTTTATTTGTTTCTTTTTCTTTCTTTCACTGTTACGGAGGGAAGGAGCAATATTTTGTTTATTTAAGTATAACAATATATTTGTTTGATATTCATATTGTGAACTTGTCCAATAAAATATGAATAGCCCGCGTTTTCATTGTATCCGCTGGAGAAGATTTTTACTGTATTCGATTTTTTGATTAGCTATTCATAGATAGTAAGTTGATTTTTATGATAACAAAATAAAAAACATTTTTTTTTTACTTGTACTTATTGATATTTTTATCTGTTTTACAAATTACCTACATACCTACTTACATATATTCTTGATCTATGTTTGTATACCTATATTTAATTAAGCTTTTGTTTTTGTTACTTCGATGCGTAGCAATTCAATAGGTATTAATTAATTCTTTTCAATTGCTATGTATGTATAAATTAATGTATGTATATGTAATATAAGTATATGTAAGTGTGAAATGTTAATCTATATTGCTGCTTTTGTTTTAATAATTTTTTCTCTTACTTACAAAATACTTAAAATGTATAGTTGTAATAAATGTTTACTCGGAAATTTGAATTGAATTCATTTGAAATTCCAAGATTTTATACTTAGTATATACTCGTATTTCTTATATTAACGGTTGAAATATTCAATTAAGTACAAAAATAGTAAAAATATACAAATTCCAAATAAGCATATATGTATGTACATATACGCTTGATAATACTGTCTATAATAATCTACATATATACATATATATATATATATATATATATATATATGTACATACATACATACATCTTAGATTTTGAATTATCTGTATAAGTAGATTGCAGTGAGTAAGATTAGATATAGTAAAAGAGGCAAGTAAAAAATCAATTATAAAAATAATAATCCTTTTATAACGCAAGGATAATTCATCATCTATAATTTATTTGAGAATTAAATGTATATTGACCTTTTATTTTATTTGTAAATTAAAGATTTTAAGATTTTATTGTATTGTAGTTTACTAGTGAGAAATAAGATTACGAAGATGAAATTTCTGAAATCAAAGAAAAATATAATTTACAAAACAAAGCACAACATTCAATTCAAAAGGAAAACTAATACCGGCTAATATATCCATATACATACATACTCCAAGAAAATTAAATGTGATTAAAAAAGCAATTCTAATTAAATTAGCAAACTATTAAGAAATTTTTGCGTTTGACTGTTAATCAAACATCAAATTTTTGAAATTTCTTTATTATGACATTAAATTGTTTTCGTGTTTTTTTCTCTGCGACTGCCTCAATCCAATATTGGCTTACCAATTAATAATTAAATTGTACTTTCACAAATTTATCAATTTATTCCTAAGAACCTATATTAGCAAGGTGTTCTTTGTAATTTATTGGCAACGCGATATTTTTACGTACTAACTAAATAAACTTTTTTGCTTACAAACACTAAATGAGGTAAAAAACATTATGTATATGCATATACACAGGTGTTATGCATCACTTTATAATCCACGGTTGATGATGATTATTTAAGAGATAATGATTCGGGATTTGTATTATATATATATATATATATTTCGAAACAAAGTATATATGCACAAATGAGTGAAGAATTGATTAAGATTGAAGTAAATAAATGAGAATGGGTAAATAAATCAAGCGGATTCAAACTCTGGTCCGATAAGTGAAGGTAATTCAGTAATTGTAATTTTTATAAAATATTCAATAAGTATACAAAAAATCTACCGATCGCAACGTGTATTGTCTAGCGAAAGTGTTGCATAAAATTATAAAAATACCTTTTAAACACTTCTTTCCAAGATCTAAAAGCTAGTAAGCTTTTAGTTATCATCCTTAGAGAAATATAAATTTGATTCGCTTTGTGCCATCCGAATTCCCTTAAAATTTCGCCAGTTAGTTTCCGTAGCAAATAAAACTTAAATAATTAAATTCAAAAGTTAGAATATTATTTCTCTTTATATATGAATCAAAAATATAAATTTGACCCGTAATAAAAGTCCAATTGCTAACACCTGATTTCTTCCAAAAAGGTTTAGGAGGGTTTTTGTGCTTTCAAACGAAACTTATATATGAAATTTCAAGTCAATCTGTTAAATATTTTCTTAAAAGTGATCAAAAATGTAAAACTGGTCTGCGTAAAATAGTCTACTTCTCACGGTCCTATACAGTATACATATAATGCACTTATAATATTATATCTTTCAAAGGTAATTAAAAATTTAATTCTAAATTTATGTTTGTACGACACATACAAAAATGCTTTTTTATATACACTTAAGCAATTTTCCTAAAATAATGCCAAAATGAAATGCTGAAAAAGTATTTGAAATTTCAGACATCATAATATGAGTTCAAGAACTTTTTCTAATGGATTATGATCCAACAAGTATATTTTTAGACATAGTAATTTTCAATATGTACATACATAAGTGTAGTGTAGTGAGAAAGGCTGTTTAAGTAATAAAAAAATTTCTGAATTTGAATGCATAATTAAAAATAATTTATGTATATATTTGTATGTATGCATGTATATAATGTAAATCATCTAACTGTTAAGTGTATATACTTGAGTGCATATGTATATTTTATGAATCAATATAATTTTATCTAAAAATATATTTTTAATGTTTAAGATTCAATACAATCTTACATACGTAGACGTACAAAGATTTTATTAATCATTAATAAATTTAATATT